CGAAAAAATAATCGATTTTTTAAATAATCGTTAGTTGCAGCCCTAGATACAGGTGAATTAAATAAATGATAATTACAACAGAGAGGGAATGGCAAGTGAATGAAATAAACAATTAAGGTGGAGGTATCAGGCCAGATCATGACAGATCTGGGTCTAGTCTATAAACAGACATCTCACACTGCTAAGATATGTTTGACAATCGCTATGTACAAGGCCAAGCATGAACCTACTGCTCTGCCTAAGCAGAACTTCCCTCATGACCAGTCAAAAATTAAGTACAATTCATGCTAGAAGCTCATTTAGTGTTGTAAACTGTTTGGTCCAGATGATTTGTTCTATCTCATACTTGGCAGCATCACAATGACGCAGGCATTATAAATTTGGTAACCCACAAAAACGTTCTAAAGTTCTCAACATGGTGAACTCCAAATAAGGACTTGCAACATCTTTAAACAGTTTCTTGAAACATACATACCAAGTTACTATATTTCCAAACTGTAGATGAAAAACTCAAAGTTGGTAAAAGTAATTGGATTCAGTTACAGGTCAATAGAGTCATCAGGAGAGTCTGTTTCTGAACCAATGTTTCCACCCACTGTTCTCCTGTTCCTTTAATGTTCCCTTTTTCATCTTGGCTTATCTCTGCAACCACCTCTTTGCTCTGTTCTGCTTTTCGGTGTGCTTATAATTCATCATCATAGCTGAGTGTTGGAGAGGATGATTTATCTTTGAACTTCCTTTGATCTCATTCATACCTTGGATTGGATTGGCTTAGCCTTTGGTCTTTTCACTCACTTTATTCTGATTAACAGAAATCCCATTTCTGCTTTTAGAATATGTGTAATTGAAATTTCAATCTCTCATGTTCGCGTGGATTCAGTTTAAAGTACAAATGGTGTGTTCTCAGTCACAACACTTCTTGGATCCAAAGACATTCTAGCATCAGTTTATCCTCTTTTTTTTCTGTGTTGTCTATGTTGTCTCACTTCATCTATGCTTTTCAGACTGTCAGTCCCCTAGTGGCACCCACAGATCTGCCAGCCCCTACTGATTTCCCTTGGTGTTTCAGAAAGATATAGGAGTTAGCTTTAGGCAACAGCTCTGTGTCCCAGCAGCTTGCGTGATGAAATCAATCCACAACATGCGGGTCCACGACGACTTTCTTTCTGACTCACACTCTGCATCTTTTTATGTGAGAATTGGTTGTGTTTTACCTCACCGGGTGTCTCTTTCGTCTCTCCTTTTTTTTTAGCTGAACAGCTCATTGTGCTGCAACTTCACAGACATGCAACATGCCGTTTTCAAAGACTCTCTCTTAGTAAACTCCAACAGTATAAAAATCACTTCTTCTTTCATCCAGTCTTAGCTGGTGTCATGTGGCAACAGTGCAGATGGGTCCGGGTGATAGTAAAGGCAGGGCAGGCAGATGGATTTGCATCCATCCAACTCAGCAGGGATTGATTGGGTGTTAGCTCTGTCCACAGGATGGAGACGATAAGAGACATGATCCATCATTACTAAACCCACCTGCATGATACCCAGTATGATTTAACACTGAGACAAACACAAATTGTCTTTAACAAAGCTGAGTGGTGTATTGGATTTTTTGGGTCTGGATGTGTTTGGAAAACAGGTGGCTTCCTTCTTTCACTCCTTTATATGCAACCTCACTTCGTCCCCTTCTCCCTCCTGGTCTTTTCTTCGTCGGGTCATTCCTTCACTCACTATGTGTACAGATTATATATGATTTTTTTGTATGTTCCTTTCTTCTTTCGTTTCTTCTTTCGTTTCTTCTTTCGTTTCTTCCTTTGTTCCTTTGTTTCTTCTTTCGTTTCTTCCTTTGTTCCTTTGTTTCTTCTTTTGCTCCTTCCTTCCTTCCTTCCTTCCTTCCTTCCTTCCTTCCTTCCTTCCTTCCTTTGTTTATTCATTTGTTACTTCATTTCTTCCTCTGTTCCTTCTTCTTATTGTTCCTTTGTTCCTTCCTCCGATCGTTCCTTCCTTTCCCCTTTTTTGTGATTTATTTCCTCAGTTTTGCCTTTTTTCTCACTCCCTTATGCCATTTCTTATAATCTTACTTTATTCTTTAAGCCCTGCCTCTCCACCTTCCAGGTGTCTTTTCTTGCATTATTAAAACAAGCTCACTGCAGATATACAGTCATGGAAAACCTTTTTAGATCAACCTTTCTGTACAATATTACTAAGGTTGTTAATATACCTTTTGCACAACACTTTACATAAACAGTGGAGGTCTAATTATTTTTTCCATGACTGTATCTTATAAAATAACACTGTACAGATCAATTTTATAGTAGAAATCAAACAAGACTGTAGGAATTTCACCCACGAATGTTTACTTAAAAATGTGCAACAACTTTGTAGAATTGTGGCCTCTCTTCAGTGTTCCATTAAATGGGAAGATAATTGATCAAGATCAATTCCAGTTAACCAAGTGAGTCAATGTTTAGACTCCAGTTTGTGTGTCGATGTGCCTGTAACCATGTGTAAATGTGTGAAAGCTCACCCTCTGCTCCCCCAACGTTGTGGCTCTCAAGGTGTGAAGTGGAACTGAGTATAGGTAATGAAGGAGACGAGACTGTGTAATTATTCTGTATAGCAAGGATTACCAGTTTACTTAACTATTTATGGGTCACCTTGAAGTGCAAATGCCAGGGGAGCTAAACTCACACCTCTCTGCTTCTCATTACCTTTAGCTCCTCTGAAGGAGGAGCTCTGTCTGCAAAAAAAGAAAGAAAATGCTGGTATTTACTTTGGAGTTTGCATATTTTTTCATCAGCACTTCTATCTTAGAACAGAACTGCTGGCAAACAACACAGCGAGAAACGAACTGAGCCTTGCTATACTGCCTTTGTTATATTGGAGGAGATTTCAATAAATATGTGGATCAAATAGGATTGTGAAAGGATTTCAGGACCAAAAACAATAAAAATGAGAGAGTTTAATCATATTAAAAACTACGTTGTGAGAGATAGCTTAGGCTGGAAGTATTTTCTTACCATGTATTATTTTTTTCAAAGCTTTCAAAACAGAAATCTAATAATCAAAGCTATAAATTAAACTGATATCAAGTTTTTAAATAGATTTCCTGAACTCACGTACACAAAATGAGGCATAAAAAAACACTGCAGAAAGCACAGGTTTTTTTTTTTTTTAAAGAGATAACATGGTTCTGTGAGCGCATGTGTTATTGGATTCATGCTGTGTACATCTCTGGGTGTGAGGATTGAGTGAATGTCGCTCTGAATTGGTGCGAGAGTAGCTCATCACCAGTAAAGGATGGAGATGGGTGTGTGAGGTTGGGTATAGAATTGCCTCTTTTTTCAGCTTGTATGAAGTGGGCTGGTTTCTCATTTTTCCTCCCATTACTAAATAAAATGCATCCTGCTGTTTGGGCTGACGTGACAGAACAGATACGTTAATAGAACGGGTGAACTTTCACAGAGGTGACCCAAGAAATGACAGTTAAAGTTTGCTGTAAAACTTTAAGGCGATCTGTAATTACATCGGCTAATTGTTAAAGCCTCTGTGGCTAAAAGGTCATCTTTATAGATTATATTTCCTATAGCAACTGTCTAATAAATTTTCCTTGATGGGATTGGATAGGGTTGTAAAAGACATTTCCTCTAAAGTTAATAACCCAATATTTAATGAAACATTTCTTAAAGTAAGTTTTTACTGTAGCATGTAAACTGGAGCAGTTTCCCACATGCACAACATTTCCTGGACCATTTTGCTTTACCTTGACTGGATTCAGGTTCCACTGTGGAGTTCAAACATGGCTAATGCATGTCTTTATTATCTGCTGACGCTAAGAGGGTACTCCAGCCAGGGTGTTACTACTACCCAGTGTCAGACGATATGGGGACTGAGATTACTGCCCATCACAACTGCAGGGTCCAAATTACTTTTAGAGCAGAAATATGACAAGTGCAGCATAAATCCCCTTAGTTTTATAGCAATAGTGTGTTAAAACCCCAGTAAAGATGCTCCCAATTTGAAAAAGTGTGATTTAAAAAAAAATTTTAAAGAGAGGAAAGAAGATCCAGATGCAAATATAAGCAAACCTAATACAGAAAAAAACAAAAACAACATATAACTGATAAATCTGTTGCATGAATCACATCTTTATAAAGCCACCCCACTGGTTGTTCAGTATTGTCACAAGAGAAGATTGAGATTATGGTCCTAATTATTGATCAGGAGTTATGCTGTGACACAGAAATAAAACACTTGTAATTCGGGTTATGCTAATCCCGAGAGCTTTCATAACAAAAGCCTGTCAGAGTGCTCTCATGTTGGAGTGTAAACTCTACACACAGCTGCTGCTGCTTCTGAAATTTTCAAACCTAAAATCAAAAATAAACAATTCAAATGTGCTGTGATTTTTTTTTTACTTGGATCTTAGGACATCAACACTGTAAAATAATCTAATATTATAAGTTTTGTCAATGATAAAAATGGATGTCCAATCTTTGTTTCCCAGGAATTATCATTTAATTTATTCCGTTATATATATTTGTTATAGAGCATAGTGAGTGTTAATACTTGGTTTGAATGTTGGTTTGCAAGTAGAAATGTCAATGTCTCTTAAATCATCATTTTAAAGTTATTTAAACCTATAAACTGAGAAGAAATGGAGCTGGGAACCACTAATTATCCCAGAAGTCTACCCTTGGTTCAAGGCACTGTACCTCCCAAAAAGACTACCTGGGGAACGTTTCTACATCAATCATCTGATTTGGTTCCTGTTCCTGCAGTAGAGACAGAAAAAAATTAACAATTTCCCCAGATTACCACCCTTGATATTAAACTGGCTCCTACAGTATTGAGGAAATAGACACAGGTTTGCTAAAGACATTTAAACTCAGATCATCAACGTTTTTTTTGGCGTTTTCTCCAGGAACCACGGTGATGACAATGATGGCGTTTGATGCAGATGACCCTTCCACAGATAACGCTGTTCTGCGTTACAACATCATCAGACAGTCCCCGGACAAACCTTCACCAAACATGTTCTACATTGACGCAGAGAGAGGCGACATTGTCACCGTGATTTCTCCAACGTTACTCGACAGAGAAGTGAGTATACTCGGTGTTCCCAGTCTGAACTGATCCTTTCAGAGGGTTAACAGGGTGTGGCTTTTCAAGCTGTGCAGCATTGTCAGGTTATTGCTTGTCACCAACAGTTTTTACAGCAAAACTTACATTCTGTGTTCTTCTGCTCATCTTGGAGCCAGCAGGCTGCAGTGTGGTCATGCATTATGTGTGTGTGAGCATAGTGAGACACTTTTAAGTGGTTCTGTGTGTCTTCGCGTGAGGGGGCTCTGGTGTGTTCCAGCAAGCAGAATCCAGATGAGTGTCTCTCCATTTTTCCATCTAACCAGAGCGAGACGACGGGATGATTGCTTTTCTGGCAGGGTGACGAATGCCAGAACATCGATTGGGTTCGCTGGTGGAAGAGGAATATTAGCTGTTGTCAGACACTTAGCGAACAGTTTAATTGAGGTGATACACACTCATCCGTCGATCCTGGTGCTGTCCAACAAGCCTGGCTGAAAACCTGCCATCCGGAACTGCTGGAACCATGGCTACTAAGTGGCCTGATGAGCCAATCTCAGAGCTGCCGTAAACTGTTTAATAGAGGTGTAATTGATTAAAAGTACAATGAAATGAGATGTAATCATAACAGCCAGCACTGTTAGCTGCTTCTCTGCCATGAAGGATGGTAACATGTCATTCACAAGCTGTACGGTGGTGTTTTTAGTTTTTTCCATAGTTTAACAACACTAAGAGCACATTTGAACCAAATCTTTAGACAAATTATATAAAAAGAAGCAAAATGATTAATCTCTTTGGCATTAAATCAGTTTAAACCTTTCAAATCTAGAGGTTAACATACACTTAATTACTGTGCCAATTCCTTAATAGAAACCACGGCACTACAAAAAACTTTAAATCTAAGTAAGTCAATTTTTCTTAAATGAAGAGCATTTTTCTTGAATTGAGCTGGTAAGTGAGGTACTTTGCCAATGGAACAAAACAATTTTCATTTAAAATAAGAAGTGTATTTAAAGTGCATAATATCTAATTGTCATATTGTAAGGATAAGCATGCTCATTCCATTCGTAGATCGTCTTATTTCCCCACTCAAACTAAGGGTAAATACACTTGTTAAATAAATGTTTTGTCATTTTAAGATCATTTTTGCAGTGTGCAGCTCGTTGTTTTTTTTAGCAATAAAATTCAATCACAGCTTTAAGGCACAGCCAATGGGTCTCCTTCATGCACAATGCCTATCAGCATACCAGTTTAATTCGCTTTCAATTCAGTTTATTTATATAGCACCAATTCACAACATATGTTATCTCAAGGCCACATATCATCTCAAACACACTGCAAAACAATCTAGAAATAAGTAAAAATGTCTTAAATAAAGTATATTTACCCTTCATTTGAGTAGGTAAATAAGATGATTTGATAACCAGACCAAGCTCCAACTATAAACAAATGTGTTGATGGCAGCAGCACAGCTGATCTCTTGAAAAACTACTACTTAAATGGCTTAAGTACAGCAAGGTCTATGTTCTGGAGAGACTTTCACAAAGCTGTGATATTAGTCCCCATGTTGGTTCTTTCAAGGGTCCATATTCCAGAAAACTGTTGCTACATGATTCTGGATGAAAAATTAAACATAGAGTATTTAACCCATAAATCTTAAAGGTAAATCTACCAAATTGTGAGGAAATGGCTAGAAATGAAGAAGGATAAATTTAAATATTTAAAAAAAACTCTTGTTGTATTTACATTTAACCCATAGAAATAATTTGGTAATCCCAACTGAATTAAACCATTTCTATGATATCCCTATTGATGAGCGGAGGCAAACAAAAATTAGATAAGTTGCAGTTGTTTGAAATAAATGTGGCAGGGTTCCTGTGTGTTAGTGAGTGTGAGTCATGCATCTCCCTCCAGAGAGGATCTTTGGGGAGAACCTGGGTAGCCTACACAGGTGAAGATAATGTTTCTCATCTCAGTGCTGTGCTTAAAGGAGCAGCAGAGCCTTCACCCCGGACTGGTTTCCTGTGTGTTGTAGAAGTTTATTTTGTTGCCTTCTAGGCTCTAGCTTCTCTCAAGTGTTTTCCCTGACGTTGTTGGTTTTTGTTCGGTTTTCAGTATTTTTGTATTTTGTATTTTTTCCTCTGTTCCCCTTGGACTTTTATTAAATCATCCAAACTCATCTCTGCATTTGGGTCCTCAAAACCTCCACAAATATAGGCAATGTATCCACTCAATTTAAAAAGTCACAGTTTTTCTGTCTGCTTGAACGTTGTTCCAATTTGGTGTGAAATCTGTCAAAATAGAAGATGATGAGAAAAGTCAGCGGGATTATATTTAAGGATTGTCGTGTATTGAGTTTTTATTTATGGAGTGAGTGAATTAGACACTTGCATTGTTTCCTTTTTATTTTAAATGCCTTTAAAGTATGATAATATAACAGGAAGAGAGGTCTCTTTTCTTTAAAATCAGAGCACTGGGACTGAGTTGCCTTTGTAACAGTAGACCCCTGCTGGGTTGGACTGTTTAAAGATTTGGCCAGTGAAAAGCCTAAAGCACAGCTTATGATTCATTCATATTCGGGATCTATTCCCTCGGCTCCAAGTGGGCTGGTTTTTCACATCAACATCCGTAGGGCTTTAGCACATGTCCAGCCAGAGCATGATATTTCTATAATTTGAAAAAGACACCATAGTGGTGTGAGAAACCCTGTTACTTTTGGACTCTTGTTTTTCTTATTCATAAATCCTAAACCCTGTCTATTCAAGCAGAAACTGGAATATAACACCCGTCATTCCATCTCACATCTGTGTCTGTTTAATATGAGAGGAAAGAAAAACTTTTCACACTGGAAGAAGGACGAGGAAGTGGAAAAAAGCAGTTTATCTCCAATATGTTGTTAAAATTTCTCTGACATCATTCAGGTGGAGCCCTCAGTGTTTCCATAGACACCTGAGCTGCCTCCAGGAAGAAGAAAGCAATCTGAAGAAGATTGGAGAATCAATTTTGTCATACTAAAATGACTTTAGACTTCTTTTACTGCTTGCTCTGCCGACTAAAATCCTTTTCTGATATTCAGAATATTCTCCCCCTCTTTTTCTTAGGAGCGTCTCCCCCTCCCCGCCTGGTATTACTCTGAAAAGCCACATTGTTGAATCAATGGGAGGCAGTCATACAGTATTTGACAGTTTATATATCTGTTAGTGTTAGCTTGGTTTTATAAGTTTGGAAATATCAGGGACATTCGTTATGATTTACATTATCAAAGTACAAAAATCAGAAGAGTGTTACAGCCACTCACTACACACATTTAGATCCCTTCATTCAACTGTAAATCAACAGTAATTACCGTTCAATTTTCTTTTTTTTTCGGAATAGGTAATTAGAACCTCTAATTATTTCAGCAGTTTTCACCTGTTGGAATATTAACACAATGTTTCACTTTACCAGGCCTTAAATTTAAGGTTTAGGGAAACAATTTAGATTCTCTCACACTTATTAATGCAGGGTCAACAGACTCTATTCATTTGCCGTCTCCATTGTACGTATATGATTTTACTCCCTACATCATTTTCGTTGATATAAATATGGATGGAGGCTATGCAAATATAGATATTTATCATGTGCAACAAGATTTTTCAAATGTGATACACAACTTAACCGCCCGTTTTGATCGTACTTTGTAGTACTTTTTTCAGGTGCAAATCAGATGCAAACTCATACTCAAACATTTCTGCCATCAATATGGCAAAAAAGAGGCATTTGTACAATTTCAGATGATGAAGAGAGATAATTTGCACATATTTGGACTGGGAGCCATAACAATAGCAAAATAATACACTGAATAATAGTCATGGAAGGTGGAGAATCTTTATTCAAGCAATGCAAAACAAAAACCCCAAAAAGGCTTGGGTTGTAAAACGTTCCAAATGTTCATCCTGCAATCAGTGGGCCGTTGATTATGCCTTTAAATTAGATATTTTAGGGTTAGGGCAGGGGTTAGGGCAGCCCGATGTGGCTCCGGGGCCACATGGGGATCTTTAATATGTTGTGCAGGAGGTCAAATAAACATCCATTATGTTTTCCAATGCTTGAAACATTTGTACAATAAATACATTTTAACAATATAAGTAAGCATAGATCAGTGTCATAGCCTGCAACACATGTTTCAGTGCGGCGCAGTGCAAACAAGGTGGCAGGTGTGCCTTGGACCATGGATCCCAGAGGGAAAAAAAGGAAGATAGCTGATGAGAACAGAGGATTCAAAGAAGAATGGATCGAATAATTTGCTTTAATTACCAATATGGAAGGATTGCCTGCACTTTTGCTCTGTAATGAGAGTTTGTCAAAAAATAAAAACAGTCATTTAGAAAGGCATTTCCAGGGAAGGCATGCTAAAAATGCGGTCGATCACAAAGTTAGAAGTGAGTGAAAAATCACTATTGCAGAACTTCTGGATAAATTAGAGGATCACAAAGATAGATTTAAGAAGTGGATTGCATCTCCTGACTCCACTACTGCTCTTCAAAACAAAAATAACACCAAGGAACGCTGGTGAGGGAGGATCTGGAATAGCAGAAACATGTCCACCATAGAAAGATTCCTTTTACCTTGTTTCTATAATTTCATCAATGCAACAAAACCTAAACCACACGGTGAAGGGTGCTGAAGCGGCATGTGGTAAACTCCACGCGGTGAGAGCGTTCACTTCTCCTCCCTCACCTCATGCTACTATGTAACATTTGCTCCAGGATAAACATTTAATCCATCCATCTTCCGTAATGCTTTAACCTAGCTTGGTTCGCGAGTAGTGCTGATGCCTATCGCCAGCTGTCTATGGGCGAGAGGTGGGGTACATCCTGGACAGGTTGCCAGTTAAACATTTAATCATGAATGCTTATTATATATTTAAGCCCACATAGTCCATTTTTATAGTGGGCTAATACACTTAGAGCCCGTATTCCCATACGAGTCTTATATAAGACTTTTACAGACATATTTGTTTTGTGGTCCAATGTGGTGCT